ACCCATCCATCTAACTACCCAATAGTACCCTATAAATGGAAGGGTTTCACTGTTACCCTTTAACGTTACTGGTACCAGAGTTTAGTATAGAAAAAAATAATCAAAGAAATATCGCATCCATTAATGCGTACTTTAAAATGAGAGCTTATTTTGACCAACATCGAGAACCCAATTAACTAAGCTTGTTGCAGAGATTTGGATGCATCCATCACAGTTCTCAATGACTCATGTGTTGGGACCAAAACCAGCTTGAAAATGCACATGTTGAAAGAGAACTTGTGACTCATCCGTTGGGAGCATCATGGGAAAGGAAACTATCCTCTTGAATAATGTTAATTATTGGACAAACATTATGAAGAAAATCCAATTTGTAATGTAATATATGGCAAATAAACCACTCAAAATTCCATTGATATAATAAGAAGGTCTTTCATAACTTCATTTCTTGTGTGTAATATGATGTTCACTCTTCAAAATTGCCACCAAACCCATTCTTAATTGCTTCATGAACTTTATTTGTCTTTTACATGAGTTCAATTGAAGATCACACAGATATCTAGAATAGAGAGCCTAAGATTATTGTAAACGGTGGCTAGTAGGCGCAAAAGGTGAACTTTTTCTTAATTTCTTTTGATTCCAAACTGTGAGTTGGTCGTTGGACATTTCAATGGTCACTTTTCTTCTTTTATTATTCAGTTTGGCGTGCAGAGAAATATATTGTACGACAAGGTGACAGTGACCGCTTTTAATGTCATCCTTGCCTAGTATCGAGGTTTTTTTTAATACGTGTGTGCGTGCATGATGTCCTTGTTATGTTCCAATTTTTTTTACTTTAACTTTCATATTGAATTTCTCAGTATCAGTATTCTTATTATCATCATCATCATCGTGGGTCTGATAGATCTCTTTGCTTTATTTGTAGTGTAATGTGATGTGTCTCTAATTTGGCGTGGCGTCCTCCATTAAATGGACGTGGTTCCGAAGGGAAGCTAGAATAATAGTAGGGCATCAAATTTTTATATATTTTCATGACACATGGTGGGACTCTTGATATTCTATCAGTCTCTGGTTTTTGAGGGGTCTGATTCTGATGTGTCAGTCTCTACTTAGCACATGGTTCTGTTAATGCCCAACAACACATGTACCTTCATCCACCTTATATTGGCTTAGACTCTATTGCTTGCTACTTCTAGTTTTGCCACTTTCCAAACACCTCATTGGAAGTATCAAAGTTGTTCATCAATTCTACCTCCATTATGGAGGTAAGGTATCACCATGTCAATTATCTTGGGTCCCATCACCCAAGTGTTACTAAAATAGTGTAGTATTGTAGATTATGCCTCCTTTACAATTATTTCATACTACATCAGTTTTTATACGTTGTTTAAGATCATTTTATATAAATTAATAATTACAATGAAAATATTTAATTTTAATAAAATATTTGTATGCATTTCATTTATCTGTTTCCCTTTGTATCTCACAAAATAAATATACATATAAATTATTTAAGAATTGAAAATTACATAAGAGTAATAAAAAACTAATTAATATAATTTTGAATTTTGTAAATGATACAAAATATAAATGTTTATTTAAAAAAGTGAACAAACTAATATATATTCATGCATAATACTTAAAAAAGTATAATTACTATTTTATGTAGTTTTTTTAGCATATCTCTAGTGTTTTATAACATTAATTAAGTTATCTTTTATCTATATTTTTTTTGTCAGTCCACAAAATGAATATAATTTAATGTTTTATTAGTAGAATAAGTAGAAATAAGATATTTTATCAAAGTAACAAATGTTTTTATAATATATATTTTTCATGATTTTGTGCATGTTTGTATATTTTATTAATATATTTATAATTCTTATTTTTTAATATTAATCACGCCTATTTTATATATATATATATATATATATATATATATATATATCAAAAATTATAATCAGTATAGTATAAAAAATATTAGTTCTATAAATTTTTTTTCTCAATTTTTGTTTATTTTATTATAATATAAGAAATTTCAAATCTACAATTATTACAAGATAATTCTTATAAAATTTTTAATCTAAAGCAATAAAAAGTTTAAAACTACGGTTTAGTATAGTAAAAACGATATCACAACTTATAAAACTCTCACAACAGTTACCAAATTCTTATAACAATAATTGATACTTTTAATATAAAGTCATGTAAAAAAAATATATAAAAAAATATATTGTATTATTAAGGTTTATCCCAAATGGTAAGCATCATGTTTTCAAACATGTTAGAGAAAACTTTTAGAAAAGTTATTTTGCAAACCATGATTTTATATTAAGATATGGAGAGGAGAAAGTGAAGCATGTGAATGAGTGGTTTGGCGAATTTATGGTTAAGTGAGTAACAGTGGCTTTTATTCCTTGTGCAACATGGAGAGTGAATTTTATTCCAAAGAAAGATGAAGGTTGTGGTGGACTGAAGAGAAGGAATCAAAAGGCAAATGAACAAGAAAGTGGGAAAAAGATAGAAGGACGAGGAGGATGTATGTATGACATTTCAATCATTCCATTCCAGTTGAGAACAGAAGTACAGCTTAAACCATACACACCTTTCTTTTCTTTTGGTGACAGAGAAGATTATGTATTGGGAAAAGATAAAGTTTTCAAACACTAATCACACAGACTCTCTTTCCATCTCTGGTGTATCAGTAAACATATGGGTCACTCAACCCATCTTAACTTACCAATCATAATAATAATAATAATAATAATAATAATAATAATAATAATAATAATAATACCAATCATAAATGTTTTCATACTTTTTTTTAATGTCATGGGAAAGGTCTCGCACTAACTTATCTAACACTCAAAAAAGAAGAATATAGAAGGGGTCAGAATTAGGTAGAAGAGTATTATCATGTTATTAGTAATAACTTTTAACTTTACAGCAGACTAAAAGTGCTCAATTTTAACTGAAATTTTGGAGTATTAAGGGATAGTGTCTGTAATGGTAGGGATAGTTTGGACTAATAAAAAGTCTGTTGTGGGACTTGCGAAAATAAATCAGTAATAAACCATACAAAAAATGAATAAAGCTTTTAAACTTGACAATTAATGTCCCCAATTCAAAGTTTATGTTAAAAAACTACAATTGACAAAGAATGAACTAACATGACATTAAAACATTTTAAGTTTGATTATTATTTAATTCAATTAAAATAGTTTTATTCATTCAACAAGTAATTTATATTTTTGAAGTGGATTTCCAGTTCCCACCCAAATAATACATACTTATGGTTATTACTTTTATAATTAGTAAAGTAATGTTCAGAAATAATATTTAAAGAGTTTTGGTAACTTTAACTAATGGGTAATTCAAAGAAATAAAAATAAGAGCATATTGCTATTACAAGTATTTATTATATAAAAATGTGAAAAGTTGAAAATGACTTTTCATTAAATACTTAAAATTATAAAATTTAAGAGAAATTGCAACCTGAAATTATGTTATGTTATGAGCCTTCGGTGTCTCCCATAATCTTGAAATTGAAATTCACTTTAATTATGTTTTTAAAAAAGTAAAAATTATAAAGACTAATTAAATTTATATAAATAAAATAAGAGAAGAATAATATTACTTGATTAAAAAATTAGCATCCTTTATTGAAAATATCAATTAAGTTTATATCTATTGAAAAATTAAAAGAAAATGGATATTACTATATGAAAATCATAAAATACTCGAGTGTCTATTTTATTTGAAGTTAAATATGTGAATAAACAAATTAGTTATTTTATTGACAGTAAAAGTTTATATACTTAACTTGATATAGTTAGGGTTATCCGGATGTGCTATTTGGATGCATGAGAGGAGAATAAAGGTTAACATTATTGGGGAGGTGGTACAAGCAATACTGAGATACTTTTGTGAGTGTGGGAGAAAGAATTGTAGCAAGAAGGGATGAAGTAAAAGAATAGGAAAAAGAGAAGAGGTAGGAAGTAGGAAGCATCCCCTAAGGGGGTGGGTGGCACAAGAAACAAAATGATGGACATTGGAAACTTTATACGAGTATAGTTGGTCGTGTTGTGTTATGATGGCTTCTACTACAGTGTGCAGCACCCAACACAGACTTATCTTTGTTTCCTTTTCACTCTGATTGCTTTCACTTTAAGGGGATATGAGGTCCGTCCCAACTTTTCAGACTTTTTCGTACCCATTCAACCAACATAATCAAATCAAACAAAAGGAAACCACACATCACCAATTCATATCAAAGCAAACAAAAGGAAACCACTCATGGCCAATTCATTCCCATTTCCGGAATTGATGCCCACTTCTGCTCCTGACCATATACAAATCCCCTCTGTTATCACACACAAACCTATGACCTGTTCCCTTGGCCCTTTCTATTCATTCACACGACACATTCCACACCCATCATCACAACAAAACAAATATCTTAATAGTGGGAGTGGATTCCTCTACTCTTTCTCATCCAACAATTCATTCACTCAAAAGTGGGGACACACACCTCTTGCTTTCTGCTTTTTTTCTCTCCCATCTAATTACTCTCCAACTTATTGAAAAAACAAGATATTACACACACAGCACCACCATATTTCTTTAAAAAGGAACATAATCGATGACATTCACTCAAAACAAAGACTCAAAATTCCTTTATATTTGAATTTTATAAAATATATTGTTGATAAAACTCTTTCCAGATTCATTCAGATAAAAATATAAGTCATTCTAACTGCCACACCCAAAATGTATTCACTGATTCTAGAAATAACAAGAGAATGCAATTATACTGTATGAATAAAACTAGAGAAAGAAAAATCTGTATCAAATCAACAAAAGAATGCTAGCATCTACCATTTGTGATCTGTCTTTTTTTTCTTCCTTACAGTGACTGTCCTTTGGACAAAAAAAGAAAAAGACTGTAACTATTTTTCCGATGGGTGTAAATGTAAGGAGTATAAGGAAAATGCAATAAACTCCTAAGAGTAATTGACATGGACACTGGCATTAATGCCAGAGTGACAAAGAGGACAATTGTGGACGGTGGACCCACACATTGTGCACAGACACAGATGCCTACATGGCAACAGCAGCACTATCGATTCTCTTACCCCACACTCATTGCACATTCTTCTTCCCAAAACGCCCTCGTTTCCGTTTCTGTTCCCGCCGCATACTTCTTCATCCTCCTTGCCGTGGTTATTGTTGCTACCGCAACTCGACTCGGCGGGGGCGCCGCCGTGATGGTGGTTCTCCTCGCTAACGTGCGCCAGCACTTGTTCCAGATTGTTCCTGAGCGAATTCGCGGTGGCCTCGTTGTTCTGCGCCAACTCCCTCCAAATCTGGTTCTCCACGCTGAGACTCTTCACTCTTTCTTGCAGCACCCAATTGAGCTTCCCCACGCGCTGAATCTCCTCGTCTTTCTCCTTCAGTTTCTTCGCGACGGCCTCTTGTATCGCCTTCACCAACATTCTTGATTGCCTCACTCGCTGCTCCTCGAGCTCCACCCACACTCTCTCTGTCTAAAAAGCCAAAAGAAATCATCAGGCACTCGTCTCGATTAAGTTTTTTCAAGAGATTTAAAAAAGAGAGAAGGGAGAGAGAATTTACGTGTTGCGCGATGAAGCGGTCGATCTCGGATTGCTGGTTCTGGAAATGGAAGACAAGCTCCTGGTCGAAAGAGGAGGGTTGAGAGGAGATTTTGATTTTCTGCGAAACAGGAGGAGCGTTGGACTCAGTCATGCAATCCCTGGAGCGTTTCCTGGGGAGGGGGATGTGGTAGGTGAGGCCGCTGTCGGACTTGTTGATGGAGTTGGGGTCACAGAGGGTGGCGCGATGAAACGGCACCACCGTTGAAGGCAGAGCCGCACCACCTTCGAGTTGCGCGTTGTAGAAGGCGCGATTCGGTTTCGTCATGTCCCTATTTGAAAACGAAAAAAGAAGTGTGAGAAATGTTGAAATGAAGAAACAGAAAAAAAAAAAAAAAATGGAAGTGTGTTACCTGGCCGTTAGTAACTGCGAGGGGAAGAGATTGATGTGCGGAGGCTCAACTGCCATGGTTACAGAGTTGGTTACTGCTTCTGATACGAATGTGTGTGTATGAGTCTGTTGGGTTGTCTTATAGATTGAAGTTGGTTCGCATTTGTTTTTGTTGCAATGCGAATGAATAAGAAGGAGGTTGTGATGTGTGAAGAGTGAAGAGGAGGATATGAGGGAGAGAATAACTAGGCATGCAAATGAGGTGGCGACTACAAGGAGCCTCAATGAATGAGTCCCGTTTATTTAAGGCTTTGGCTCTTGTGCCATTTCTAGAGAGAGAAGCACAAAGTCAAAACTCATCCCATTTTCTTCCCCCAAAATCTAAGCATAAATTAATTCTTTTTCACTTTTTCATTTATTGCAAAAACAATTTATTTAATATAAACATTAAATAAAAGTTACTCCACCACCACACTGTAACGCATGTGCCAATGGGAATCCCCTTTCAGTTCTCTTTTTTTTTTTTCTTCCCTCACTCGTTTTCGAATTTCCTTTCGTTTTTTAGTGGTTAAGGACGTGGCGGGGTGGAGAAGTGGCCACGTGACGACGCACGTGCGAGGTGCGTGACTGGAAAGTGAGACAACAAAGCCTGACCTGACCCTTTAGCCACGTATCTGTGGGACCCACTTCTGTTTGGGAGCGGTTTCCTCGCTCTGCTGCCTCCTCATTTCTTAAACAGTTGTGTCTGTGTACGGACCAATTGCATAGAGTGTGTTATTCGCTGCGCTGCGCCTCCACTTATCTTCATGGAACACATCTTCCTCTCATCCGTTTTTGCTTTCCACCTTATCAAACGGAGAAAATCAAACCAACCAACTTTCTCTTCAAAGAGAACTAATCAGATACGTTTTGTAGTTTATTAAGGAAAATTAGATAACAGTTATGATATTTCAATGGACCACGCCATTATTGGTCAACATTTAAAGTTTATAATTAATTCATTGGACCACAATCAATCCCATGTTTCTAACTCATTATTACTCTCGGTTAAATTGTATACTAATATAGTACATACACGTAAATTTAATTTTTTTTTTTCACAGTTTTAACCGTCTTTGGTCAAGTTTTCTAATCTTAAACAATTTAATTATCTTTCTCAACTGATCCTGAATAGCTTTAAAAAATCATTGTTAGAATAAGATAACTCCATCCACTCTTTTTAATACTTTCAAATAACATTTAACTGTTAAATAACATGTTTTTATTTATTTATTAATTGCTATTTACATATGGAATTTGAAAACAATGATACTATAAATCTTTTCCAATTTCATTTAATCATATACATATTTGTTAACTATTATAAAAATCATGTTTAAAAATATTTATTGTCTTTCTTCTTAACTTTTGTAACTGTCTATCAAACTTAACTCTCCACGTTTACCAAATCTCGTTTGAATTTTAATCTTTCAGATTTTGAATTTGAAATGCAAAACAAAATTTGAATATTATTATTATTATTAATAATAATAATCTGTTAAAGCAAGAAACGAACATCACCTTCAACGGACATGTTCATAACAGCTCATGATAACTAAGAAGTTATTTTTATATTAAGATAAATAAAAATATGATAGGTTATTGTGAATGTAACTTTTCAAGATAAAATGAGAAAGTTATGATTAGTAGGACTCTAAATATCTAATAATTAGGAAATTATATACTTATAACTATTTGTTTAATTTAAAAAATGTAAGAAAATTTATTTTAAAAAGTAATTGTAAAATATTATTTCAAGATTTGCTAAATTTATAAAGACAGACCCAAACCATGTGCACAACATTTGCTCCACAAAATATGATGAACGTGCCCTTGGCATTGCTAAGTGATTTTGAATAAGATAACGAGGGAGTGTTCACAAAACCTACGAATGGTTCTGTCCCTTAGTTGTCACAGATATGTAATTTTGCTCGCAATTCTCTCATCATAACATCTATAGTCATTAATATTTAATTAACAATTAAATAAGTAATTAAAAACTGTATATTAAGCTGTTTCCCCTTGCAACTTGTATATTTTTAATCTATTATCTATAATTAACTGAAATTTATTACAGTTCACAAATTTTGTGGTTTCACTTTTTATTCAATGAGCTAGCCTCTTAATTTTGTAATAATTGTCAATAAATTTTAACTAACAGCCCCTCTATTGTTTTTTTATCTGTTATTGTAATATTTTAATTTACGAACAACTAAAAAAATGATTAATTTTCTTAATTCTAGTTATATATTAATTGTAAAATCAATTCCATAAATAATATATTTTAAAAAAATTATTCAATTGTTTATTTATCATTATTTATATTATATTTTTTTCTTTATTTTCATAATTTTTTTTTCTCATTTACTTTTTTTTTCTTGTTTTTTTGCTTCTCTCATTTGTTCTTCTCATTAAACTACTATATTAAAATTTAATAAAAATATCTTAAAATCAACATTAAAACTAAAAAATCAACTAATAAATAAATTTATTTATTATAATTAATTAATTTTAAATTATTTTAACCTAATAAATAATTACTCATCTAATTAAAAAATATCAAATATTTATGAATTAAATATATTTTTTATTTAGTAATTTAATTTAGTTATAATTAGATTGAATTATAATAGGTTAGATTAAGTATTTTTTTAAATATTTATTAAAAAATTAATATTTTTTAATAATTATAACATAACAATAATATTTATAATATCTCATATTTATTATATAAAATAAATACTAAATGAAGGCAAAAAAACAACAAAAAAATAAATGAAGAGAGAGAAAAATAAATAAATACATGAGTTTAAAAATAGTTTTATTTTTTATTATTAAATTTTTGTGTATGAATAATGTGATAAATAAATTTTAAAATATTCTATTTAAGATTTTTTTAAAATATATTATTTATGAGATTATTTCTACCCATTTTATTTTACATGATAAATGCATAAATATAACTCAATTAAAGAATAGATAAAAGGTAAAAATTAATAAAAAAAACAATAATGTTACATTAATATTTGAAAATAACATATAAATAGAAACAATAAATAAATTTGATGATACAAAGGTAACAGAATATTCCTGATACTGTTTTATACCCATATTTTCAGATTGTTTACTATGACTACACAAATTAGAAAATTTTAATAATAATAATAATAACATATATTAAGGATCTTGCTAACTAGTGTCTCTGGGATATGGGTTTCGTTAAAAAAATTCAAAGGATGATATTTTCGATGGAAAATACACGAAAGTAATTTAACAAACATATAAAAACGTATTTCTCTACATCCCAATAAATAATAATAAAAAAAGATTAAAATTTATGAACCATTTGAACACTTTGTTGGCATTTGTTAAATATTAACAATTGGGCTAAAATATCCTTATTTGTTACATTTTTACATTAGAAGTAATAGTGATTGAATAATTAAATAAAGATATATTAGGTGAGTTACATTGTTATTCAGTATTTGAAGCAACTCTTCAATCCAAGCTAGCTATGGGTTGTAAAACTTAAAATTTTAAGAAACGTGTGGTCTAGTTTTATACATCTAGATGGATGATGTGAAAGTTGATTTTTCCTTTCTCAATGCTTATTAATCAAAGAAACAATGGTCTTAGGAAACAAAATTACAAAATTGACTAAACGAGGAAATGAGTGTAGCCTAAAATTAGGTTCAAGCGTTTCCATTGAAGCTGGTTAAGGATTTGAAAATTCAAGCTGGGATTTTCAAACACATAACATGACTTGTTCTAATTGCTTCATGGTTGCACACCATAACACTAACTATAATTCAATTACTTTGAGGATATGTTTGAAACATCATTCCGTTATCCTTGGTGAGAGAAACTTCCATTTGGAAAAAGAAAAGAAAAAAAGCGTGTTTTACTTGAAACAAAAACACAGACTATGTTATGTTGGTCAAATTTGCTTGCATCGTTTTCGGCGAGAATAGGTGAGGGAGATTTTTGTTACACTCCATTGGGAGATTTAAAGTTTTTTGGTAGAATTTGTAGTGTACTTGTGGTTAGGTCTATTAGAGAATTAGGTGTAACAAAAGTCTTAATGCAAAGTTTTTTGGTTTTGTTTTTCTGGTACAGAACACAGGCGATCATAGAAATGTAGTACGGTTAACCTAGATTTTCACGTAAGATATTTGGTGGAGAAAGGTATCGATTGCATTGTCACTTTCACGGAATCAAACAAAAGAATACCTCTCCCATGCAAGCTCTTCCATCAAACCTTCAACTAACATGGATCCCACATACCATATTCTGCACACACAATTTATTATTATTATTATTATTTTTTTTTTATCATCGTATATTGTAAAAATAAAGTTTCATGACGAATATTTTGACAGGTAGGTTGAATCAAAAGAAAGCATAAAAAGGATCACGTACTTGTACAACTAGGCATGGTAAAGTAGATTACTAGGGCATATATATTTAATGACACTTGCGAAAACATTTTTATTTTATTTTTATTTTGCAATCTCATGGATCTACGTAGGGTATGGCCAAGGTAAGCCAATCTTGCTGTGCTGGATATGTGAAGATAAGAACAATAATGATAAAAAATTATGTGGAAGTTTCAAACGTGTGTGTCATGATTGCGATGCATTTAGTAGCTGAAGATGACATCGTCCTTCACAATGAAAGGTCCAAAACCTAACTCTGGAGGCAAAGTTTGGTTGCATTTGTCTATTACATGTGGGCGTGAAAACTCATACATGGATACGACACAAAATGCCAATTGTCTCCAAATAAATACTATGTTATCCTAATCCATCATCATTTTCCTTGTAGCTTTTAACAACATTTATTTCTACAAATAAATTTATTTTTTTTTTGTTTATTTGAAGAGCATCAACTACTACTGGTTACATTTGTGTTTCGCTTTATCTTTACAGACAAATACATATGTAGAATTTTGATCTTAAAGAGAAAAAGATGGATAGCTTTCACGTGGTTGGTTATTTTCAATTGGTGATAAAGTTTGTATTTTTTATACCAAAATGATA